CTGACGTTGGTTGAACTAAATCGATTGAGAGAAGAAAAGAAAGAAAGAGAGAAGAAGGCTAAGAAAGAGAAGGAGAAAAGCGTTCAGAAGAATAATAACATTAATACTTCTGTCATTGCGGGGCTTGTTATGTCAAAAATAGGCGAGGGTCTTCTAGCTTTGGAAGGAAAGATATCTCAAGTTTACGAGAAAGTGAATGATGTTGAAGAAGCGGTGAATTGCCTCGAGAATAAGCTGACTACTTCCATTGATAGGAAGTTTTCGGAGCTGGAGACGAGTTTTGTACGCGCATCTTGATTTCTCTTGAAAAATATGTTGATGTTGGGAAGAATGTCTCTCCCACTGTAAGTTTAGATGCAACAAATCTGGCTCCAATGGGTAATAGATTTGGTGGATCACCATTAGGTTCTGACGTTAATAAGTCTATGGGAACATACGCTGAAACAACTGGTGTTTTTAACGGTGTTCTTGGTGCTCTGAACAGCTTAAATGTCCCGGAGGTATTAATTTCCTTTCCTTCAACATTTCATCATGTTTAATGTCGTTTTGTATTACTGCCTATTAAATTTCTTATTTGTACAGGGCAGCCGTGTTGGAGGCAAAACTAGTGATGGTTCCTCTTCTATTTATGAAGCTGTGGATAAGCTTGTGTCTGTTGGAGGAAAAGAGGTTGTTTTATGTTTATGATCGGACTGAAGTCCATGCATGTTTTTAACTTTTATTATCATTATTAAAACAGCTTTGCATTGATAACTTTATTTTTAACATGTTTTACTGTTACTATAGGTATTAAAATACTTATAGACTCATTTATAACTGTATTGTTAGCCTGTAAAAATTTTTATCATCTTTTCAACATTATATATCTCTGTATTCTAGGGAAACAGTGATGGAGGCAAAAGCAGTAAACCCCATTGTTCCTCTTTGGTTTCTGAAGCTGTGAATAATGGTGTAGCCTTTGGAGGAAAAGAGGTTTGTTTTTAATTATGCTCTGGCTGAAGTTCTTATATGGTCGTAACTGTTATTAACGTTATAAAAATACTTTTTGTGCATTGGTAACTTTATTTTTAACCTGTATAGCTGTTATTATAGTTATAAACATACTTCTAGTTATATGTATAACTTTACTGTTAAAGTCTTTATTATTTTTTTCAACATTGTATATCTCTGTATTCTAGAGAAACCATGATGGAGGCAAAAGCAGYAAACCCMATTGTTCCTCTTTGGTTTCTGAAGCTGTGAATAATGGTGTAGCCTTTGGAGGAAAAGAGGTTTGTTTTTAATTATGCTCTGGCTGAAGTTCTTATATGGTCGTAACTRTTATTAACGTTATAAAAATACTTTTTGTGCATTGGTAACTTTATTTTTAACCTGTATAGCTGTTATTATAGTTATAAACATACTTCTAGTTATATGTATAACTTTACTGTTAAAGTCTTTATTATTTTTTTCAACATTGTATATCTCTGTATTCTAGAGAAACCGTGATGGAGGCAAAAGCAGCAAACCCAATTGTTCCTCTTTGGTTTCTGAAGCTGTGAATAATGGTGTATCCTTTGGAGGAAAAGAAGTTTGTTTTTAATTATGTTCTGGCTGAAGTTCTTATATGGTCGTAACTGTTATGGTTTTGTGCATTGATAACTTTATTGTTAACCTGTATAACTGTTATTATAGTTGTAAACATATTTCTTGTTACATGTATAACTTTATTGTTATCCTGTTAACGTCTTTATTATCTGTTCAACATTGTATGTCTCTGTACTCCAGGGCAACCGCGATGGAGGCAGAAGCAGTACACCCAATGGATCCTCTTTGGTTTCTGAAGCTGCGAATAATGGTGTCTCTTTTGGAGGAAAAGAGGTTGGGTTTTAATTATGGCCAGTTCTTATATGTGCAGAACTGTTTATTTTTTTAAATATCTTTTGCTTTGATAACTTTATTGTTAACC